TTGCGAGGTGTTTTCAGAGCATTAACACCATTTAAACGTCATTATAGGCGTTTGTGGGGCGTTTTTAATGCTTGGCAAACGCCTACCAACCGCCGCAAAACCGCGCTACTGCGGTTTTGGAGCATTTGCAGAGTGTTAAAAACGCTTCACAAACTCCGGTCTAACACTTGCAAACGCTATAGGGGCGTTTGGTAAGAGTTAGAAAAAAAAGTCAAGTGTGAACAAGGCCTTACTGTGGTATGTTGTGTTATAAAAAAAAACTGTCACATCCATTTTATTAGCAGTTGAAGTGCATTAGCACCTATTGCAAATGAATAAGTTGCCTTAACACATTACACAGTGCAAAAGTCGAGGGACAACAAAGGTCCAGGGGGGCCTTTAAGAAGCTTCCGTGTTTGAATTGAATAGCAATGTGCAATATAGTAATCCCAAATGGCACCTAGTACTGCCTCTCCCTCTCCTATTCTGAGTGATACTGTACAGCAAATTTAATAATATCAATACCACAACCACAATATATTTCATGAGTCCATAATTAGATTACATTGTGTTGTTTCAGCCTGGATTTGAAATAAATATATATATATATATATATATATACACACTATATTGCCAAAAGTATTGGGGCACCCATCCAAAATTATTGGATTCAGTGATTCTAATCACCTCCATTGCCACAGGTGTCAAGCACCTAGACATGCAGACTGCTTCTGCAGACATTTGTGAAAGAATGGGTCGCTCTCAGGAGCTCAGTGAATTCAAGTGTGGTCCCATGATAGGTTGCCACCTGTGCAATAAGTCCATCCATGACATTTCCTAGCTACTAAATATTCCACGGTCAACTGTTAGTGGTATTATAACAAAGTGGAAGCAACTGGGAACAACAGCAATTCAGCCACTAAGTGGTAGGCCACATAAAATGACAGAGCGGGGTCAGCGCATGCTGAAGCGCACAGTGCGCAGAAGTCACCAACTGTCTGCAGATTCAATAGCTAAAGACCTCCAAACTTCATGTGGCCTTCAGATTAGCACAACAGTGCATAGAGAGCTTCATGGAATGGGTTTCCATGGCCGAGCAGCTGCATCCAAGCCTTACATCACCAAGTGCAATGCAAAGCATTGGATGCAGTGGCGTAAAACGCGAGTACTTGCCTGACTGCATTGTGCCAAGTGTAAAGTTTGGTGGAGGGGGGCTTATGGTGTGGGGATGTTTTTCAGGGGTTGGGCTTGGTCCCTTAGTTCCAGTGAAGGGAACTCTTAAGGCGTCAGCATACCAAGACATTTTGGACAATTTCATGCTCCCAGCTTTGTGGGAACAGTTTGGGGATGGCCCTTTCCTGTTCCAACAAGACTGCACACCAGTGCACAAAGCACGGTTCATAAAGACATGGATGAGCAAGTTTGGGGTGGAGGAACTTGACTGGCCTGCACAGAGTCCTGACCTCAAACCGATAGAACACCTTTGGGATGAATTTGAACGGAGACTGCGAGCCAGGCCTTCTCGTCTGACATCAGTGCCTGACCTGACAAATGTGTTTCTGGAAGAATGGTCAAACATTCCCATAGACACCCTCCTAAACCTTGTGGACTACCTTCCCAGAAGAGTTGAAGCTGTTATTGCTGAGTGGGCTAACTCAATATTGAACCCTATGGACTAAGACATTGATGTCATTAAAGTTCATGTGTATGGAAAGGCAGGCCGACCAATACTTTTTGGCAATATAGTGTATATTGCTGAACCTCAGTTTCAATATTATGTACCAATTCAAATGTCAATATCGTATACCTAATCCTTGCATTTGTATTATATTCCAGGTGGCATTTTATAATCCAGTCATTGAAAGATTTTCTAAATTGCGACGACAAAAGAAAATTTTCTCCAAAGAACATGGTTTGTTGGGTTTTCAGTAATGTGCCTGTCCTGTTTATTTTTTGTGAGATCTGTGCTACTGTATATTCACACCTTTTCAAAATAGTTCAATATTCTTAAATCAAATCTAGGACAAATTAAGCTTCTCTCATATCTGCCTAATCAGCACAATATTTAAGCCAAAAAAGAACTGTTTTTTCAAAGGCCTGTCCCTTCAGATTGAAAAATAAAATTCAGTCTTCTTACAACTGCAGTAATTGGAAAGAGTCCTGTATAAAAATACATTGCTGCCCCTGGAATGACAGCAGTCACTCTATTAGTTTTTTCCTCCAAAACCTGGAAAATATATAACCGGCATGGGAGTCTTTCCCATCTAATAGTGTGCAGCAGCAGCCCTGAAGAAGGGAGAGTCATTTCTTTTGAAACGCATTGGTTTGATGTACTTGTCATTATTCTCAATCAATGCCTCTTAATCTATGATCAAAAGTGCATTCTTATGAACATCGGGTGCTCTTCCTTTCTTATTCCAAGTATAAAAATACATTAAGTTGTTAAGTTGTATATTTGTGGTGTATAATGGAAAAAATTGTGATATTAAAGTGTTACTAAACACACAACAGTAAAATCAGTCTGTATATGCAGTAAATCATGTTTACTATACTCACAGTGGAACCTAAGGAGTTAATCCTCTGTATTGTGTAAAAAGGCTGTTTGGTCTTATTTTCTCTGCCCCTCCTCTTGTTCAAATGTCCACCTGATAAGACAGACTGAACCTGTAGTCACATGCACATGCTCAGTTTAGTGTGTATTTCTAAAGAGGTTTTTTTTCTTGGGAGAGTGCATGTGATCAGCACAGGGCCAATCTGCACTGTCCAGACAGAGGTCAGGGGTTTTACATCCTCCTAGAGCAGAAATAAAACTCCACCTACAAGCTTTAACCAGTGCTCTGCTGAAGTCACAAGACTGCTATTTACTGCTGATGAGAAAAGGTATTTAGCAGTTTGTATTTACTAAAATAATTGCATGTTGTGTGTACTGTGGGAGACCAGATATTGTGAATGCAGAGTCCTGGGTTTAGTATCACTTTAATATCTATCTTTTCCATCAATTTTCAGGCCTTTTGTGCCCAGAGTTTAATGAAACCTGGATGCCCATTTATTTATTTCATTTTATGCTCTATTTTAATAAAGACTCTTTTGTGTTTTTAGTGAGGGACTGTTGGATAGATTAACACTTCAGTTCTGTTTTCAGGTATCCACAGCAAGGAGTATAGCGCTGAGAAATGTTATTATAGAGATTGCTGTGGGGAAAGGGTTGAAGCCCAACTCCAGCCAAAACAGGGAGCGGACAGGGGCAGACTGACCATTTGGAAACTTGGGCACTGCCCGAGGGCCCGGGGTCAGTAGGGGGCCCCATGAGATGCCCCTGGTACCTTTTTCATAGGCTTTTTTGAGTTTGGGCAAGGACACAGGGGCCCCATGATCCCCTATTGCCTGGGGGCCCCATGAGTTGTCAGTCCGCCCCTGTTTAAGAAGCGTTAAACCTCTGTCAAATTTTGTTATGGTTATCTTTGTCCCAGTTTGAGATATTTTTCCTTATCACTTGTCTGTCAGAACAGGGAGTAAAGGAAAGATTTAACACATGATGCCAAACAGTTACTGTTATCTAAAAACAGTAAACTATTAATATGGCTAACTGAATTTATCTCAGTAGTCATTAAAACCTGACTCCTTTGTTTGGACCAAACTGGTCCAAACAAACTATTTGCTTCATTAACCCAAATTGCTGTATAAACTGTACATAGCATCAGCTGTATAAATTATAAAGTGCTGTGTTCGGGCAGTAGGATGGGGACTTCCCATTTCATTCCCAGAACAAAATTGAGTCATGCTGAGCGCTGCCATTCATAATAAGCCTTGTATTTCTTCAATAAATACATCCTCTGAATGGCTGAGGTGGAGATCGTGACATCATCTGCCCCCCTCTCCACCTCAGCCAATAGATGAGCAGTGCTTGGCATGGACTCGATTTTGTTCTGGGCGCAGGACAGGAAGTCTCCATCCTGCTGCTGGAACACAGCTCTTTATATTGTATGTAACTGATGCTACATATAGTTCACACAGAGCCCCCAGCAGGCGCAAACAAGATAGAAAACTGGAGTTCGGCTTTAAAGCGGAGTTCCACTCACACTGTGAAAAAATAAAAGTCAGCAGCTACAAAAACTGTAGCTGCTGACTTTTAAAAAAACAGCCACTCATCTGTCCCATGATCCCGCGGTGTCCTCCCCGCAGCCTGTTTACCAGCCGTCTGGTGTTCCAGGCGCTGGCATCTTCAGTGTGGGCACCCGGCTGTGACAGCTTGCGGCTGTTGTTTGACTGTCTAGCTGGTCCAGTGGCTTTAATAAAATCAAAATCTGGAACAGTCCACCTGACTTTACTTATTACATACTTATAGGTCTGTGACTCAAAGAGTATTGATATGAGAGGCAGCACAGTACCTAGAAAGAAGAGAAGCAGCGCCATCTAAGTGCAGCAATAAAAACAAATAATTTATTTCTACAAAGATGGCAACTCACAATAGTAGTCAAATGAGGTCTTGTCAAACTGGTGTCAAACGCTGTGCAACTCTGGTCCAGTTCTGCTGCAGGCAGGTCTCCTATGCACTGTCCTTGACTGTGCTGGTGTTTCCCAGATCTTTCTGGTCGGTGTGGATCCACAGGGCTGCCGACCACGCTGGGAAACAAGAAAGTTATAGAACCTCTGTCAGGTTTTTCCTGTCTGTGTTCTCACTGGGGAGATTCCCCTCTTTGTTTCTCCTGGTGGCCATTGCCACCAGGACAGAGAGTGATGGGAAATCCAAAATGTTACAGCTGTTACCAAAAGGAATATAGGGGAAATCTTCCAATTGGGATACCATGTTTGGTGAGAACTGTTCAAAGAAAGGATTTCCTCCTTATTTTGGAGAGATTTCCTCTCAATTCCCATTGTGTCTTCAGGACAGGAAGTGATGGGAAATATCTCTAATTTTTTAATGTTATGAGCTGCTATGGTTACTCTACATTTCTAGTCTGTGTTAAACTATATTTCATGGGCATTTCTACCCAGGCAAGGCCTTCCTCCGCGCTCGACAGATGAACATAGACCCCTCAACATGGCTCCGCCTCCTGCGCAGAGCTATTCCTGCCAGCACTGGAGGGTACAGTCCTGCAGAGCGTGGAGCGTGAGTCATGTGATCTTACATTAACTCTTGCTGTGTCTGATCTGCAGTCCTCCTAGAGATGTCATGTTTGTCCTGGTGCCCCTGAAGCTTCCATGTTTACCTTTCACCTCTTGCTAACTTGCTGCCTATTCCATTTCTTCTAAGGTTAGCTGCTTCCCAGTCCTTTTCTATTACAGGGAACACCCCTTGTTTGCTCTGTTATATGTTTTTCAGTGTCTAGTTTTCTGGCCATCTTATATGTCCTATCATTCATTCTCAATTTTGATTGGTTTTTAGAGATCTGAACCTGAATTCTCTTACACTGGAATCCAGCCAAGAACCTAAGGATAAGGTAAGAGATAGAAGATGGCCAAAATGGCCATACTGAGTAATAATAATCCCTTGTCTTTGACTATTTTTACATTGTACGGTGTAAATGTATTGCGCTTTTGTTATTAACAGGTGGATAGACCAGTGCTAAAGGAAAGTCCAGCCACAAGGAGGGACAGTCAGAGACGGTCAGTGCCCACCAATTTATGCCTCATCATCCTTGCAAACGCACACAGGTTCACATACCCCCTGCTGTCACTGCTTTATTGGCTTAGTCCTGACAATTGGGGTCTAGCAAACAAAGGGTGCTACAGCCAAAAGTCCAAAGGCATATATATGTGTTCATGTTTGTTGTACGCACCAAGAGATTTGCAACACACCCCTGCTACACAGCACAAACAGCAGGGTGACACACATGTTCATTGTCACAGCTAATGAGTACAACAATGGCACGCTGCTGCCTGCAAGCTTGCTGATTGGACAGTAACTGAACAGCAGCACACTGTTGAGTTAATCTCTACATTCTCCTCTTCTGTAAGCATATTCCCTGAGTTAGACTGACAGCACTGCGCAATGCAATACAACCTTATTGGCTGGCCCTGCAGTCTCTCTATCTCCAGGGTGTTATTTATACAAGAGACAACAAGAACAAAATAGTTCTTGCCCATGGAGACCAATCGGGATTCAATGTTTATTTTATAATAAAATGGAAAGAAGTTACCTGATTGGTTACTATGGAGAGCAACTCTTTTGTTTACAATTTCATCTCTATTTTTTTTTTTTTTTAGAAATTTTCTTTTTGTGACTAGTTCTGTTGTGCAAATGATTACAGAAAGCTAATATACAAACAGGTTCAGGTGCTTAAAACTAACTGTAGTAAAACCACATTTAATATTTTTTTTTATACATACCTGGCCTATATGGCATTTTATATATGATGGAAAATAGGTTCACTTAAGTGTGCACCCACAAAGAAATTTCTAAAGACCAAGCCGTTTCTGACACTTTTTGTTTACATGTAAAAATAAAGTATTTTTTGCTAGAAAATTACTTAGAACCCCCAAACAATATATATTTTTTAAAGCGGAGGCCCTAGAGAATAAAATGGTGGGTGTTGCAATTTTTCATGTCACACAGTATTTGCACTGCAGTTTTTCAAACATTTAAAAAAAAAAAAATACACTTTTTAAAATTTTAATGCACAAAAAAAACACAATATAATACCCAATTGTTTGGTAAAGTTAAAAATATGATGTTACACCGAGTCTTTAAAATTGCGTATGCCCGTACAATGGTGACAAACAACATACATTTTATTATCCATAGGAGATGCTTTAGAAGCCTTTACAGGTTAGCATTTTCAGTTTACACAGGAAATATACCTAACGTGTGGGAAAATTGCTGTTTGCTTGCATTCACTGTCACTTTCATTAATTTTTTAATCATTTTTATTGTTATTACAAGGAATATACACTTACTGGCCACTTTATTAGGTATACCTTGCTAGTGCCAAGAAAATCTCCCCCCACACTTTTACACCACCAGTCTGAACCATTGATACAAGGCAGAATGGATCCATGCTTTCATGTTTTTTACACCAAATTCTGACCCTACCATCTGAATGTCGCAGTTTCCAGTCTGCCCATTCTCCTCTGACATCAACAAGGCATTTTTATCCACACAACTGCCACTCACTGGATATTTTTTCTTTTTCGGCCATTCTCTGTAAACCCTAGAGATGGTTGTGCGTGAAAATCCCAGTAGATCAGCAGTTTTTCAAATACTCAGACCAGCCCGTCTGACACCAACAACCATGCAATGTTCAAAATCACTGAAATCCCCTTTCTTCCCCATTCTGATGCTTGGTTTGAACTTCAGCAAGTCATCTTCACCATGTCTACATGCCTAAATGCATTGAGCTGCTGCCATGTGATTGGCTGATTAGCAATTTTTGTTACCAAGCAATTGAACAAGTGTATCTAATAAGGTGGCCGGTGAGTGTAAATACCCCCTGTGATAGCAATATGCAGTCACAGGTAATCTTTATGGAGAGATCAGGGGTCTATTAGACTGCAGATGTATTCTTTGCCCTTAAAAGTATCTGATCACACCAAGTTTGTGTGATCAGATGCTTTCCCATTTTAAAAATGGTGCTGTTTAAAAAATGGGGCTGATCCAGCGAAACCAGAAGTGAAGAATACTCATCGTTTCCAGTTTACTATACCATAGAGGTAGTCAGAGCAGAAACCCAGGTTGGTCGCTTGGGTCTCCCAGTGGAACGGGAAAACCTGAGAGAGCCACAGAAGGTGGCAGGAGGGTGGGATGACCCCTCCCGCTGCTCATAAAAGCAATCTATCTGTTATTTAGCTGCTAGGATTGCTTTTACAAGAAAGCTGACCATTGGCTCTAAAAAATAATAATGGGATGATGCCAGCTGTAGGCATTATCCTGGTATAACCATTCAAGTCCGGTGACGTGTGGGTATGTTGTTGCTTGGCAAGTGGCTAAAGAAGACAGTACCCGTTGTTAAAACTAATAGTAATAGTATGATGATGGTGACTATTGTTATTATTTATAATAATACATTTTAATAAAAACAAACAAAAAAGTCAGAAGAGCTTGGCAAGACATAAAATATACTTACCATTGATTATTTATTTATTTATTACAGGTACTTATATAGCGCCGTCAATTTATACAGCGCTTTACATATATATTGTACATTCACATCTGTCATTTAATCTGGTATTAACTTACCATTTAATTCAGAAGAGGTTTTTTTTTTTTGTTTTTTTGTTTTTTTGGATAGTGGTGAGGGGTGAGAACCCCTGTCAGATGTTATTGCTATATTTTCCCCGAGAAAATATAGCAATAGAGAGATTCACTCTCTTTTCTTTTCCTGGTGACTACTCTCAACAGGTCTGAAATTGAGGGAAATTTCAAAACTTTGTTTTCACCAGAATAGAAATAGAGGGGAAATATACAATTAAGTAGATTTGTACTAAAAGGTCAGATCTCCCCAGTGGTATACTGATGACAAAAATATTTTATTTCACCATTTCCCACTATTCAAAATAAAAAATAAATGCGTTGATCATAATTAAACATTGAAAAGACAGTGGCTCCAGTTTGTCTACAGATTCTTGCCTGTCTCAGATGATGACATGACATAGTTGGCCCTGGTTCATGCAGTCCTTGTTCCCCTCCATTGTTCAATATGCTGTGCTTCTGCTTAGCACAGAAACTTGGTGCTTGGCAATCTCCAGGATTAGACATCCCTTGGGCACCACCAATCTTCTTGCTGGTACAGCAGAAACGTTCCAGAGGATGATACCTGGTCCCGTCCCATATTCAACTGATCAAAAGATAAAAGTATGGTTCCCTTGGTGCAGACACTCAGCAATAAATGTCTCTATTTGGATACTCTCATAGCAATACATCAGATCACTTTACACTGATGGAAGGAAAGTTCCGCTTCTCTTCTTATGCCACCTTGATTTATTATCACACTTTATATACCAGTGCCATCTGTAAACTTTCCTCTATTGTATTATTCATGCTATTACTGGATTTTGCATTACTCCCAAGCTGGCAGATTGCATATGGAAGCAAATTATGGTCAGAATTGTTGCATTGTTCTTGTACCATAACTGTGATTTGTAGAAAGTAGTTTTTGCATATCCATATACACTCACCGGCCACTTTATTAGGTACACCTGTTCAATTGCTTTGTAACACAAGATGCTAATCAGCCAATCACATGGCAGAAATTCAATGCATTTCGGCATCTAGACATGTTGGAAATGGCTTGCTGAAGTTCAAACCAAGCATCAGAATGGGGAAGAAAGGGGATTTAAGTTTGAACATGGCATGGTTGTTGGTGCCAGATGGGCTGGTCTGAGTATTTAAAAAACTGCTGATCTACTGGGGTTTTCACGCATAACCATCTCTAGGGTTTACAGAGAATGGTCTAAAAAAGAGAAAATATCCAGTGAGCCTATGTAAATCTTTGAAAATTCAAAGTTTGCTGCATTCCTATTTATGGGCTCAAAAATAGCCATGGAAACCTTAACCAAAAAGCTTATTTAGAAAATAAAAAATGCAGTGACTATGAGAAAGATTGCATAGCAACCTAACAGATTTCAGATTCCTGCAGTCACTTTAATGGAGGAGAAATTGCCATTGGCTGGTGTTGGTCACTGTCTTGTTAAATAACTGCTCCATGCAAAATAAAATAGGCAACATATAGTAGGTAGCCCTTCCAAAGGAGAAAACCAACAGTTCTCAAGTGCTGCAGCCATCTTGGAAATAAATTGGGCTAAAAAAATCAGCAAATTACACATAGGAATTAAAATATTGCATGCATTATGGTCTTTGAACCCAATTTGCTGCTTAGAGCTTATAGCATTGTTAGTAATAAAAAATGTTTTTTAAAATCTCAAACCCCTTACACACTTCCTTACACACTTGCATTTTTTTATTTTTCACACACATGTTAAAATCAGCATTTTTAAATCCTCCAAACATTATATATTTTCTGAAAGCAGAGGCCCTGGAGAATAAAATGGTGGCTGTTGCAATTTTGATATTTGCACAGCCTTTAGCAAATGCACATTTTTAATAAAAAAAATACACTAATTTGAATTTTAACTGACTTAAACACAATATAAAATCCAATTTTTGGGTATAACAAAGCAAGCAGTTGATGCTGTGACGAGTAAGATACCAAAGCTGGCAAGACACAAAATTGCATGTGACTATGAAATGGAGAAAAAGTACAGCACCTAATTTTTTCATAAGTGATGCTTTAAAGCCCAGATGAGAGCTTGGGAACTACCATGGATGGCAGTGGGGAGGAGGGCTGAGGTGGCCATCTTCAGTACCGTAAAAGTTGAGCATGGTATAACCACTTGCCGACAGGACACATATCTACGTACATATGCCAGCAACTCATAATGTTCAAAAGGTTAGAAGGTTAGAAGCATGCATTAAAGTGGAATTTCAGTCAAACCGCTAAATATTTATAACAAGTATTTCCATATGGCCAAAAATGTACACAGTGCTTTAAATATTGAACACTCACATCAGTCCCTGCCCTCAAGGAGTTTACTAGCTAATGTCCCTATCTCACATGTATTTATATCATTCCAATAATCTACGCAGTGCTTTACATATTGTTCATATTAATCTTTCCCCTCAAGGAGCTTACAGTCTAAGGCCCCTTTTCTCAATTGTATTTATATACTGTAGCTCCAACAGTTTACACAGCACTTTACATATTATACATTCACATTGGTCCAGTCCCTGTGCCCTCAAGGACCTTACAAGCTAATATCTCTACTTGACATATTGGGGCTGAATAACCGTCCATCATATGTGTCTGGGTTGGATTTCAAATCAAGGACACTAGGCCTGCAAGGCAGAAAGGCTAACCACTAAGCCATTGTGCTGCTATACATCTATATTTAAAGTTACTAAATCATGCCTATATATGATGTACAGTACCTGTAAAGAAGAAAGCATATACTTACCTCTCTTGCTGCCCCCATCTCCGAACGTTGCTCTGATCATGAGAAATCCTCTCCTGAAGTTCTCTGCAGGAAACACTTTCCATGTTGCTTCATCTTTCTGGACAAGTCCATAGAAATGGCATAATGCAGGCGTAATTTGGATGGATATAAACTATACATAAACATAAAGATTACCCAGCATCTGTGGCTGGTTAAAATAGGTAGGGCATTGTCAGTATCCATGGAGCCACTATCATTTCATAGATTTAGAAATGAGATAGGTTGAGCTGTCCATTCCACTCTTCTATAGACATGGTTTATTCACATATTCATATACACATGTATGTTTTTACAGAGCACAGAGTGTCTCTCAACTTTCACTAGAAGACTTCAGGCTGATGGCTGTCCTGGGAAGAGGACACTTTGGAAAGGTGAGTGACGAAAGACAGTTTTATCATTCAAATATGAACCACAATCTGGGTGGAGACCCAAGAGAACCCCTTGCTTCTGTTACTGGAGTCTTCTGACTGCCATAGAAGTTGTGTGCTTTTATATTACATGTCTTTTATAAGGTTCCAAAATAAGGGACTGAATCAAAGAGCCAGTGATTTTTAGTTTAGATGTGGCCTGATGGGCTGAATAAGTCTGTGGCTTCTTACTTATCTTATACTCCAACACTCCATAATACTCCAACAGTGAAATCTCCCTGGACTCTGTTCCTGGCCACCTGCAAGTTTTTGGTGTTCCCACCTAACTTTGGTGTTCCAGCATCTCCAGTTACATTCTCAATAATAAGGAATAAAATGAAAATCAAGATGAGAGAGTGGAAATCCCTCCAAATGGTCATATTAGGTGTGCAGAGATTGTGCAGAGATTTCACCATATTAGGTCAATCACATCGACATTGCCAATAAGCCCAAGTACTCATAAGAAACCATTGATTTTACAACCATCTCCACCATTTTGTGAACATCAGCTGCTGGAATGGGAACGCCCCCAGCTCGTTAGCTCAGCAATGATAGCTACCGTCCAGGTTCTAGCTTCCAGGCTCATCACTAGTTACTAATCTCAATTCAAAAATTTAAAGTGGTTGTAAAGGCTTAAAGTTTTTTTACTTTAATGCATTCTGTGCATTAAGGCAAAAAACCTTACGTGGTATGTGTCAATTGACACACGCTGCCCGGCTCGGGATCAAGCCTGCATGAGTGCCCCCATAACAGGCAGCCTGCTATGGGGGCACTCGGAAGGGAAGAGGGACTGAGAGCACTGGCGGAAGACCCCAGAAGAGGAGGTTCAAGGCTGCTCTGTACAATACCTTTGGACAGAGCAGGTAAGTATGACATGTTTGTTATAAAAAAAAAAACAAAAAAGTTACAATCTCTTTAAAGTTTTCATTGCAACAGGAGTAGAGTAGATACCTATTCCTAAGATGATTTTCAAAGATGGGATTTCCTCTCACTTCTGTTGTGTCTTCAGGACAGGAAGTGAAAGGAAATCTCTCCCTCACCCTTTCTTACTCTATCTTATTTTGTTTTAATTTTGTTTTACTGAAAGTTTTGCTGCTCTTTCTCTATGTGGGGAAGCAGGGATCTCTCTGCAGAGCTCTGACATGTCCCCTGTGAGTCTGAGCTAGAGCTCTTCAGTCACCAGAGAGCATGAGCTTTGCCGATTGAAAAGCTATAGGTCTGACTCATCAGGGAGTCTGTTGGACTTCTGCAGACAGATTGCTGCTTCCACACAGAGAGCAAGGGTCCTTCTCTGCAGCATGCTGGCAGAGGACAGACTTTTCTTCTCAGGTTGTGGTTACTTCCTTAATCAAGTAAACTGTAAGACTTTGCACAGCTTTTTTTTTTGATGCACCTGCAGTGGATTTAGCTGAGTCAAACTGAATGTTTATTTGGGTTCTAACCACCTCTCGCCCGCCATATAGTAATATGACGGACGCAAGGTGGTTCTCTCGTTCTGGGAGGATGTCATATGACGTCCTCCCACTCTAACCGCACATGCGCGGCTCCTGGAGAGCGCAGCGTGGCGATCGGCGGTGCGCTGTGTCCCTCGGACACAGCGGATCACCGATCCACGGAAAGAGCCGAAAATGGCGGCTTGGTCATGTAATCAGCTGTGTCAAATCACAGCTGATCACATGTAAACATGGAAATGCCGGCATTTCTCTCCCCACGAGCTGTCACGAGCAGGAGAGGAGAGCCAGTAATCGGCATTCCTCGGAGGGGACATATACACAGATCATCAGAGCACTGATGATCATTGTGCCCTGATGATCTGTGTAGCCCCAGCAATGCCACCTGTCAGTGTCCATCAGTGCCAGCTCTCAGTTCTCATCCATGCCACCTGCCAGTGCCCATCAGTGCCACATTTCAGTGCCACATCAATGCCACATATCAGTGCCCATCTGAGGAGCTGCCTTTCAGTGTCACCCATCAGTGCCAGTCAGTGCCACCTATCAATGCCAGTCAGTGCCACCTATTAGTGCTGCCAATCAGTGCTACCTATCAGTGCCAGTCAGTGCCACCGATCAGTGCCAGTCAGTGCCGCCTATCAGCATGCATCAGTGGCGCCTATCAGTGCTGCCTAACAGTGCCAATCAGTGCCACCTAACAGTGCCAGTCAGTGCCGCCTATCAGTGTGCATCAGTGGCGCCTATCAGTGCCGTCTAACAGTGCCAATCAGTGCCACCTAACAGTGCCAGTCAGTGCCGCCTATCAGTGCCACCTATCATTGCCGCCTATCAGTGCCATATATGAGTGCTGCCTTTCAGTGCCCATCAGTGATGCCTGTCACTGCCCATCAGTGCCACCTACCAGTGCCTCCTCATCAGTGCCCATCAGTGCCACCTATCAGTGTCCATCAGTGCAGCCTATCAGTGCCCATCACTGCAGCCTCATTAGCGCACATCAGTGAAGGAGAAAAATCACTTATTTACAAAATTTTATAACAAAAACTAAGAAAAAACTTTTTTTTTTTCAAAATTTTCAGTGGTTTTTGGTTTGTTTAAGAAAAAATAAAAAACCCCGAGGTGATTAAATACCACCAAAATAAAGCTCTATCTGTCACAAAAAAATGATAAAAATTTCATATGCGTACAGTGTTGCATGACCACGCAATTGTCATTCAAAGTGCAACTGTGCTGAAAGCTGGAAATTGGCCTGGGCAGGAAGGGGGTATAAGTGCCCGGTAGACAAGTGGTTAAAGCTTGCATAAAATGTTTGGACCTATAAAAATACAGTCTTTAAAAAAAAAAAAAAAAATCTCCTTTACTTGTCTGCATTACCCAAGACATAGCACTTTGCAGTGTGGCTGTTTGTACACCAAATTTAGTAAAATAGTGAAATTCTAGCACAGTAGCAATATATCTCCATTATCATACCTCATCACTTACATCAATCCACATCACAATGGTTTACATGTACTGTACAAAAACATAAATAACCCAAACATTTCACAGTCTTGTTTGGTCTTAGTAAGTGTTATAAAGTAGTTGCCACCAATTCTGTCATCTTTTTAAACCAATGTTTGTGTCTCGTTGTCAGGTTCTACTCTCAGAATATAAGGCAACTGGGGAATTATTTGCTATTAAAGCTTTGAAAAAAGGTGACATTATCGCCAGAGATGAGGTGGAGAGGTAGGTATCCAGGACAAGTCCCTTCTGACCTGATTTGGAGAGAAAAGTAAAAAATGGAGTTATCGCCCCTAGCAATAAGATTCCAGCTGTCATTGTTCTAGTGCAGGCTAGAAAACGACAGCAAGCCTCTGATTGACAGTTGTGGGCACCAACTGTCTGTTGTTATTGTATAGATAGAACATGCAGCGCTAATAAAATTCTAAAATTGAAACAAGCGATCATACCATGCAATAATCAAAATAATAACAATCTAATCACTGCTTGATTATAATTAAAGAAGGATAATGAAATATGATTAGCGTCCAGAGATATGCTCTATATTGATGAATGAGTATATCCAACATAAGTGTTCTGCTGTGCACAGTGCAAACTCTCAAAACAGGATGGTGAGAAAATCAGTGACTTCTGTGACCATGTTCATCACACAGAGATGAATGTAGATTGCACTAACCAGAAAGCGCAATAGTAATGCGCCTTTGAGTGTTAACCAACTCCTGGTCATCCGCCTATGGGAACTGGATCACAGCGAGGATCGTCTGGCCTGCGTCAGTTAAGCAATTATCACACCCTCAGGGTCTCCAGGTACCAGGGGAAAAGTAATCCTCTCACCAGCAGGGGGAGCTTGTTTCACCATACATGCAGTGGCCACCAGGTCATCCTTATATGCCTTGAAGGGGGGGGGGGGGCTCGGGAGTAACGAGCCAGAACACAGAAGAATCTGATAGTGTAGTACTTTAATGAAAGCCACAGGGATATAGTATACTAGTAAAAATGCACTACTCACATGCAGTAGTAAAAAGCTGGCAATGGAGAAATAAAAAATGGCCACCAGCCGTCCACGAGGGCCGCGCGGTGTGATGTCACAGGATTTAGGGCACCTCCCTAACGCGTTTCGTGCTCTTCTGGTTAGTGCAATCTACATTCATCTCTGTTTAATGAACATGGTCACAGAAGTCACTGATTTTTACTCATTCATCAATATAGAGCATATCTCTGGACGCTAATCATATTTCATTATCCTTCTTTAATTATAATCAAGCAGTGATTAGATTTTTATTATTTTGATTATTGCATGGTATGATCGCTTGTTTCAATTTTAGAATTTTATTAGCGCTGCATGTTCTATCTATACATTTACTATGGAGGCTCCTGGTGTTCGCCTTTTGTGCTAGTCGCTTTTTGGTGATTATCCAGCGCTTGTATTTTTTCTGTTTTTTACTTTGTCGGTTGTTATTGTAACAGCTAGACCTTTGGCTTCATTCAGATGGGCGATGGCACCCATGCTGTATGCAGGAGGTGTTCGTTTTGGCATCTGTGTCTATCTGGTGCTGCATGCAAACTGCCTATGGAAGTAGATGCGGGCACAGCGGCTGCACAGACACAGCCACATGTCAAAATTTGACAGCCGTGGAGGAGCAGCTGCTGGGCACAGAATGTACACTGTGTTCAGGACTTGCTTCTGCACAGCTGTTAGATTTTGAGATGGGGCCGCTGTGTCTGCCTCCACTTTCATAGACTGCCAGCACACATCTTGGCGCAGAAGCAGACGCCAAAACAAATGTCTCCTGCGCTCAATACGGGTGCCGGCATGCCTCTAAATGAGGCCTTTCAGCTATTCTGTTTTGATATAATGGGGTTGTTTTACTAAAAGAGAAACAGGCTGTTCGCTTTGCCAGGGAATTTTCACTTTGCAAGGGAACTTTTCCGTAGCTTGGTGAATGATGACTTTCATCATCTGATCATGTGCAAGCAAAAACACATTTATTTTTCATTGCATGTGTTTGGGTATTGTTTGCAAAGTGAGTTTTCACCACATTCACTAAGCTTAGGGAAAATTCAATGAAAATTGATCTGCCTATTTGCTTTTAATAAATCAACCTCTATGCCTCATTTCACCCCTTAATTTCTACAGCCTCCTGTGTGAGAAGCGTGTGTTTGTGGCGGTGAGTGGTGCCTCCCATCCATTCCTGCTCAGCCTCCTCGGCTGTTTTCAGACTGCGGAGCATGTCTGCTTTGTTATGGACTACATGGCTGGAGGGGACCTGATGACCCACATCCACACAGAGGTTTTTGGCCAGCCACGTGCCACGTGAGTACATATATTGGTGTATCTGAGGTGTAAACTAATGTGGCTTGTTCAATAAAAGCACTGGAAAGAGCAGAAGTTATCAAAAAGTAGCATAATCTCTGAAGTGGGACTTCATGTAGGGTGCTATGGGTGCTGAACATTGCATCATGTTTGTTGCTTAAGGGGCTCATTCAGATAGGTGTATGTATTTATGCAGGATCTTGCTGGTAGCAAGTATAAAATCTGCGTTGAGCCAACATCAGCAATGTGAGTCAGGCTATGGTCATTTATGAATTCATTAATGACTAGCCAATGACGAGCTGTCACAGCATAAATGGCTTATTCAGGGCCAGTATGTAACCATCAGTAGAGTGTAATCAGTAGCACAGTTGATGCTTATTACATATTCTTGATATATATATAGTTGTGCTCAAAAGTTTGCATACCCTGGCAGAAATCGTGAAATTTAGGCATTGATATTGAAAATATAACTGATCATGCCAAAACTCTTTTTTTTTTAAGGATAGTGATCATATAAAGCAATTTGTTCTCACATAGTTGTTTGGCTCCTAATGATAACACAAATCACACAAATAGCCCTGATCAAACGTTTACATACCCTGGAATGTTTGGCCTTGGTACAGACACACAAGGTGACACGCACACAAGTTAAAATGGCATTTAAAGATTCATTTCCCACATCTGTGACTTTTTACATTGCAGTTAGAGTAGGTGTACAAATAATCAATGAGTTTGTTAGCTCTCACATGGATGCATGGAGGAGGCTAGATACTGAGTCATGGGGAACAGAAAAGAATATTCAGAAATAACAGAAATAATAACAGAAATAATAACAGAAAAGAACAAAAAAGATATTCAAAGCCTTGAATATGCCAATCAGTACTGTTCAATCACTTATTAAGAAAATTCGGGGATCTCCTGATACCAAGCATCAGGTACCAGGTAGAGCAAGAAAGAGTGCAGCCACAACTGCCAGAACATTTGTTCGGGATACCAAGAAAAACCCACAGGTAACCTCAGGAGAATTCCAGACTGCTCTGGAAAAAGATGGTATGGTTGTTATTATTATTATTATTATTACATAGTGTTTATATAACGCCAATAGGTTTGCTCAGCGCTGTATAATAAAGTGGGGGGACAGTACATGAGACAATACAGTAACAATACAATACACAAGGGGTTCGAGGGCCCTGCTCTTTCGAGGTTACAATCTAGGAGGGGGGGGTAGAGGTACAGGAGGAAGTGGCTGTGGGGGATGGAGTGGTAAGAGGAGTGGAGGAGAACGGCTGTTAGGTGAGGGTGGGGTAGGCTTCCCTGAAGAGGTGGGTTTTCAGGGAGCGCCTGAAGGTGAGGAGGGTAGGTGACAGTCTGATGGATTGGGGTAGGGAGTTCCAGAGGATGGGGGAAGTCCTGGAGAAGTCCTGCAGTCGGGCAAGGGAGGAGGTGACCAGGGAGCTAGAAAGTAGGAGGTCTTGTGAGGAGCGAAGGGTGCGGGTAGGGTAGTATTTGGGTATCAGGTCAGTGAGGTAGTTTGGGGCAGCGTTATGGATGGCTTTGTAGGTCAGAGTTAGTAATTTAAATTTAATGCGTTGGGCAATCGGGAGCCAGTGAAGGGATAGGCAGAGGGGGTGGCAGAAGAGGAGCGGTTGGTGAGGTGGATGAGTCTAGCCGCTGAGTTCAGGATATAGACTGAAGCGGGGATAGCTGGTGTTGGGGTAGGCCGGTGAGAAGGTTGTTTCGAAGAAGCACAAAAATCAATACTTGAATAAAAATTAGCAGCATGGTCTTGTTGCCAGAAATAAGCCTTTACTGCGCCAATGCCACAAAAATGCCTGGTGAGCCATGTCAAGGTGTTGTCAAGCATATCGTAACCAAGCTTTTTTGTGGCATTGGCACAGTAAAGGTTTCTTTCTTGCAACTCAACAATGCAGCTCATTTTTGTTCAAGTATTGTGCAAACTTTTGAGCACAACTGTACAGTGCCTTGAAAAAGTATTCATACCCCTTGAGATTTTCCACAGTTTACAACCAAAAACGTAAATGTATTCTGTTGGGATTTTATGTGATAGACCAACACAAAGTGGCACATAATTGTGAAGGAAAATGATAAATTGTTTTCAAAATGTTTTACAAAGAAATATGTGAAAAATGTGGCATGCATTTGTAATCAGCCCCCCCGCAGTCAATACTTTGTAGAACCACCTTTCACTGCAATTACAGCTGCAAGTCTTTTTGGGGATGTCTCTAATAGCTTTGCACATCTAGAGAGGGACATTTTTGCCCATTCTTCTTTGCAAAATAGCTCGAGCTCTGACAGATTGGATGGAGAGCGTCTGTGAAGAGCAATTTTCAAGTCTTGCCACAGATTCTCAATTGGATTTAGGTCTGGACTGTGACTGGGCCATTCTAACACATGAATATGCTTTGATCTAAACCATTTCATTGTAGCTCTGGCTGAATATGTACTTTTTCAAGGCACTGTATGTCAGCCATGAGCAGCAGCAGTGGCCAATAGAGTTCAGGTTTACAGTAAGCATGCAAATGTTAGCACAAATGTTTACATGTGTACACATCCCAATATGGCCTAAGCCTAGGTTCACATCTGTGTGTTATGTGAATGGGCTGCTATATCCATAAGAAATGTGGCGAAAGAAGTCCCTGACCCTTTTTTAAAAACACGCCACACAGAATCTCATGGTGATGCAGCATCATGTGGTTTCACATTATGTGAAATTGTGCACAGGTGCCCGATGTATTGAGGTGCCATAAGGAATTAATGGCACCCCCTGTATCTGCTAAGGAGAATCTCTATATAGGTCAGGAACGCTTGTGATTATGTATGCATCCTTAACCTGTGCGTATGTGAACCTAGCCTTAAATATGTCCCTGGACTCAGCTGTGTCCCTGTTTTTTTTTATGCTGTTAAATGCAGAGGAACATTACGCTGCCCAGAGCAACAGTTTTTATAGGCTCATAGACTTCAGTAATGCTGTGTACAGATGCATACTAAACTACCGTATATGTTGTACCCATCTATACAGAGCATTTTTTATAGCTGTATGAATGAGTAGTTATTGAATAAGCGTTGATGTGCATATTTGGGGTTCTCTGAACCCTTGTACACATATTGAAAATGCAGAGGGCTTCTATCTGTCATTGTAATTTGTAATCTTTCCTCTCTCAGGTTCTATGCTGCCTGTGTACTCCTGGGACTTCAGTTCCTGCACAGTAAGGACATTGTCTATAGGTGAGCTGGTGACATTTCTGTGTACTCTATATCTTACATTATTCATCTAAGACCGCTTTTATCAACTTTTCTACCCAAGCGAAACCCCTAAAATAATTTTTGAATTTTGGGGGAACACCTGCTAAAAACAATTCATTGTTGTCCAATAGGAAAAAGGCCCCTTACATTAGTGGTAAGTAGGAAGACTGCAACCCTTAAAGTGCTGGTCTAAATGCCACCCTTACAGACAGCTAAAAGAGATAACTGGGGTTATATTGCTGGCTTAGCCAAGTGGCGTTGGCCCTGGAACTATGCAGGCACTATCAAATTGGAGGTCTATAAGCCACAATCCAAGAAACCCATAGCAGCCTCTGGAGGAACCCTAGGGGGCCAGGGAACCTTGGTTGAGAACTGCCTTCTATAGAGATACTCAGATTGTTATCTTACAGGATGAAAAACCATTGCATCTAGGTCCAGTGTTACTTACTCGTAACTACAGAAAATATTCTTACAAAAAAAGGCCCTATAGTCCATCTACATAATCTTTTGCCTGCATACTGATAGTGTAACACTTCTTGAATTCTCAGAAGGTTCATTTATTTGTGTGGTTATAGGTAGGCGGTTGGGGGGTAGGAGAGGATTTTATGCTGTCTTATTCCATTGGTGAGATTTCCCTTCACTTACTGTGTTGAAGACACAACAGGGAATGTGTGGAAATCTCTACAAGGACACAGGGAATACCAGTTTAGGTGTCCCAATTCTAAGACTTACCCTCACCTCTTATACTTGTGACAGTTTGCATTTTCTCTTTATTTCTATTTCAATGACAGTGGACACCAATTCAAATGAAGAGGTTACATCTACTTAACAGCAGTAAAAATTGTGCTAACCCTTTCCTACTTTATCCAAAACTCCAAAGGAAAGGTTTTGGATAGACATTTAAATCAGTTGTAAAGGCTCATGGTTTTTTACCTTCATGCATTCTATACATGAAGGTGAAAAATCTTCTGTTTACAGCAGCCCCCTCCAGCCCCCTAAAACTTACCTGAGCCCCATCCGGATCCAGTGATGTACACGAGAGCCTCGGCTCTCCCAGATCACTGCTTCCTCAATGGCTGATACAACAGCAGTAGCCATTGCCTCCTGTTGCTGTCAATCATAGCCAATGAGGAGAGAGCAGGGGATGCGCCTAGCTATGCTCCATGTGTGCATGGACTCACAAGAGCAGCGGCTTGTGGTTGCATTAGTTTTCTTTTTTTTTTAAGCTTTTTTATTTTATTTTCACCGGATAATTATGGGAATAACACACTTCCTGTTCTAGAGTGACTATGCTCACTTCTGCACTGTGTCTATGGTGAGAGCCATGGTTGTCACACAGACTGGACTTTAAACGTTTCTGCCTCTCTTCATCTTCATTACATGGTGGGTGGGGAGATCTGTAGTTTCCAAAGGAAAGATAAAATTGTTTTATACTTTCAGTTTAGCTCACAGGAAGTGACAAGGACACTGCATTTCTGGCAAGATTAACAAGTATTTTCTGTATTTGCTGAAAATATTTCTGAAAAATGAAAATAAAATAGTCACATCAAAGGACATGTTATCTGTATTATAATACATGTTTGTTCTTGAGTTTTATTATACTGTGATTCGAACAAACCCTCGGCACAGCAGATAGACTGACAGTGGTAGGTTGTGCACTGTGGAAAAGCCAGGCTCCCTTGCATTGCATTGGGAGTTATTTAGACCTCATACACACTGAGCATTAAAAACGCTGCTTTTAGGGGCATCTGACTTTTTTTCCCTCTAAATACCCCTTCATGCACACAGAGGAGTTTAGAGACTTTTTGGCAGAATACAAATAAATTCTTTAAAAATCATACAATGTGATTTCCTGAAATTTTTTTTTTTTAATTCTGTCTCTCAGAGTGGGAATGCACCTACAATATGAATTTCAGACCCCTCCATGATCTCTAAGTGGGAGAAGTTGCAAAATCCCAGGGTGTTCAAATACTTCTGTTCCTCACTGTATATGGTATCACTGCGATCGTCTAGAGCTGGAAAATTTATTTGGGGTTGTTCTTTGGTAGTAGGTTTTGGTAGTAACAAGAAACACACAGCTAAATTTAAAACAATTTATATTTTTCTACAATTTGGGGCCAGTTTTCCTTTGAGAATAAAAAAAAATCAGGAGATATCCATTACCATTTACCACCAAATGAAAGCCTAATTTTTCCTGAAAAAAACGCGGTATAATTCACCTGGATGTACAAAGTAGTTGTGATGACATGTACGGTTTTACTAACACATGTCAACATTGCAAAATTGTGCTTAGGCGTTAAGATTTGTTTTACCCTTAGGCATGAAGGGGTTAAGTATAAATGAACACACAGAAGGTATATTCAGACTCAGTCTGCTGTACAGTGTAATCACTATGCCAACATAACTTAGAATAGAGTTCTGTACCACTAGACTGGAATTAAAGTGTTACTAAACCCACAACAGTAAAATCAGTCTGTATACGCAGTAAAGCATGCTTGTTGTACTCACTATGGAACCTAAGGGGTTAATCCTCCGCATTGTGTGAAAAGACTATTTGATCCTGTCTTCTTTGATCCTCCCCTTATTCTGCTGTCCCCAATCCATCTGCTGATAGTACGGAGCTGTAGGAGTCACACTTCACATGCTCAGTTTGGTGTGCATTGCTAGAGAGGTTTTTTTTTTCTTTGGGAGGGTGCATATGATCAGAACAGGGCCAATCAGCACTATCCAGACAGAGGGTCAGGGGTATATATAGCCTCATAGGACAATCAGAACAGAATGAAAACTCCTTCTATAAGCTTTAGCCAGTGCTCAGCTGGACATTGATAGAAGTCACAAGACTGCTCTAACTGCTGATGACAAAAGGTATTTAGCAGTTTATATCTACTAAAATAATTGCATTTCCATGTTCTGTATAAAGTAGGAGACCAGATATAGTGAATGCAGGGTCCTGGGTTTAGTAACCTTTTAACTCATGAATCAGCAAAGTCAGCAATGAACTGTGTATACAAGCATTACCTGCAATGTGAATAATAATACTGTAACTAGTCTAGAGTGCACTCTAGAGAATGGCTAGGATATAGTGCAATGTTCCCTCAGAGGTAATATTTAGCATAAGCAGTAGATGAAGGTCTCTATGTTGCAGCTGTAAAAGGGCAGTCCTTACTCTTCCGCCACGTTGAGGCCCTGATGTGCTGTTGGTGCACATGAGTACAGTCCCAGTCTGCAGGCAACAAATAAGGCTACAAGATGGCTGTATGATCAGTTCCTAAAGGGCTCAGTCTCTCTAGCAGCAGACAGTAAAACCCCACAGCAGCAGCTCACCAGTCCCAGTAAAATTGCAGCTCGCCATCCGATCACACACAGCGTCCGATCACACAACCTTCAAACTCAGTACTCCGGATCCCTCTCAGGCCTCCAATATGCAGTAGTGATGGTGCACATTGGACAGTGATGTGCACTTTTTGATCTACTGTACCCCACAGCAGGAAGAAGCTGTGTCCTGTACAGCCTAGGAAAATGCAGCTCTTACCCCTCCTCCCACCAATCTCCTCTCTGGGAAATGTAGTTCAAAAGCTCTTGATTACACAGTAGAATTTCTCATCAGGGCTACAGTTCCCACAGTGCTAGCTGGCTTAGTCTATTGAACTCTTTCTGCTCAACAGCTCCTTACTTGTGCTGAAACAGTTCAGCACCGCAGGGCAGCAGCTGAAGGGAGCAGCTGCAGCCAGTGTTTCTCTCACGCTCATGCTTAGCCAAGCAGCTGGCTACACTTAAATCACCTGTCCAATGTCCATATGCTGTGAGCAGTGACAGGTCTTTGTGTAGGTCTGTGCATCTACAGAATTTAATGTACTGAATGGCCTACAGTGGATGAACAATGCTGCTATTCAGAGTGTTGGGAATTATTAGTGGTAGTTACATTATGAAGATTAGATTGTTCTTTGATTTCTTTCAGGGATTTAAAACTGGATAATCTGCTGCTGGACTCAGAAGGATATGTGAAATTAGCGGATTATGGGCTCTGTAAAGAAGGTTAGTGCTCAGTCTGTCTGTCCGGTTTATGTATGTCTGATATATAGGGTTCTGTACACCATAAGGCCCACTTTATATTAACACAGCAAGAAGAGCAATGAAAATGTGTAAAAAGGAACTCCAAGCAGAAATCATCATTCACTGACTCTTGTACACTGATATCTGATTGGTTGCTAATGGTTTGCAGTACTTTTTTCTTTGAATTTGCCACATATATGTATCTTGTGCAATAAGCTTAAGAGGAGTTCCTGGTATAGATATTTAAAGAATAACTCCACTTTTGTGAAAAAAAATGAATATAGCATATACAATTGCTACACAAGTCATATCATTATTGAATATTATTAAAAATGACTTTCCCTTTCAATCTACAGCGCTGTAATTTTCTGTAAAATATAGTGCAATATGGCAACTTGGAGATGTTCTGTACACAGATGGTGTACAGAAGACCCCTAAGAAATGTCATTTCCTGCTTGTGTGATTGGCTTACTGATTTTCCCAAAAGTCTACACTAAGATACAGATCTGATTGTGGGCATCCCCTGCATCAAAAATGTCATTTTTGGTGAGGGACTTCCAAAGGGAAATCACATCTAAAGGGATACAGATCCTGCCACTTTCCTCATTGAACCCTGCAAGCGAAGGAGCTGATTGATAATTATAAAAACACCCCTATTAGAGTCACTTTGCACATGGACACAGACAAACAAACAGCTATTTCTTCAGAATGACAAAAGGTTTGAATTTGCAATAAAGTTTGTTAAAATCGTTGCAGTGTACATAGATCACCCAGAGGGGACTTTTTTTTTTTTTTCAAAAAAAGTGGAGTTACCCTTTAATATAGTTACATTGCTCCAGCCTGGACCAATGCACCTACAGTATGTATATACCATACCTGGCCAATGTCCCTGGAAGCTGGAAATCACTGAAGTAGATCCAACTACTCCTGTGATCTTCACTTGCTTACAGGTCCTATGCTAAACAGTTACCCTGAACACAGGAGGTTGGCTGCTCGGTATGATGTCACTATCCCTGCCTCCCCACCTCGTCCAATCAGAGAACACTTTGCGTTCATGTAGAAAGTGCAAAGCATTTCAATATTTCACTGGAACAGAAAGACACAGATTGCATTAAAAACCTGACATATATTTTAACACCTCTCCTGAATTTTTTTATTGTTTCTGCCCCCATCAAAAAAAATGCCATCGCTTCCTGTCCCTGTGGCACTGTTTCACAGAAACAATCAGACACAGAGTGCAATAAAAAAATGATACTTTGACCCAGCCCCACCCTGCTAAACACATGGGCTTTTTTCTTTGTTGTCTCAGTCTCAATCAGAGAGATTTCACATCACTTCCTGTCATTCAGAAACCCTTTCACCAGGATAGGAACTGAAGTTAAATCCAACAGGTACACAGACAGGACAACAACCACCTGCAGAAGCCTGATTTTAGAGCAAGAAGAAAAGAAAATGAAACTCCTTTACATCCTGATTTTTATCCCTACAGCTACAATGAGACAACTGAATATCTGTGGCCAGGGATGGCCTCTGGCAAGAATCAGTAGATTCTTGCTGCTGGTTGTAAATGCTGCTTGTACACACTGTGTGTGACCAGCAGCAGCTGTCAGCCACGACTGTCAGATTTGCACTCTGCACAAACCAATGGCAGGCAGTGCTGCTGTTTTGCATGTAACTGCTCATCCGAGAAAGTGTGTGTCCAGGGTCAGCATTTCTGCTGAGTTTTGGCTACACACAAACTGGCTCCAGCTAATCAGCCAGGTCTATATATCCATAGCACAGAGTGTTGCTGTTTTCAGAGGTGGCATTTAGCTGCCTCTGCTCACAACAAATTAGCTGCAGATATTTGCCTAACTGCATATTAAACTCTGATGAATAAGGTACTTTCAGCTCCCGAAACGGACTGGTTTGTTACATTAACATACTGTATTTACCTTGCAAAATAGAGCTAGATGCACATCCTACTAAATCATAAAATCAAAAAAAGTGCCACATCCCTTGAACTAAATCAATATGCAAAAATGTAGTAGAATGGGACTTTTGAGGCACACTATTATTCTTTAAAAAATTTACATTTTTATCTCATCCATATGTATAAAAAAAGGAAATATTTCAACAAAACACAACATCAATTATATATAAAAATGTTGCAACAACTCATTACAATAAAAACATAAAACAACAGATCCAAGGAGTAATATACAGTAAAGTGGCCCGATGCGTTTCCTGGACAAAGTCCACTTCTTCAGGAGCCAGTATATACACCAATATTCTAAAATAATAACAATAACAAAATGGCACACAGAAGCGGTAGCAAGTCATAGCTACCTGTTCTGGTGTACTGGTCCCCGCTGATCCACCTCTCACATCCATTCCAGGTATGGAGACAAGCATGGCAGAACAGGTTATCTTCCTTCTGTTTTGCAATGCTGCTTCGATCAAATATCCGAGAGAAGCTGAGCGGGTACAGGAGCTGGTGGCATGGTCAGGTTGGTCACAATCTACCTATCTCATGCCTGCAATCAACGAGTTGCTGACCCCTGGTTGAAGAGTGCTCAGGCCTAGCAGCAACTGACTCATAGGTGGAGGTCACATGCTCCCTTATATCCAGAAGCATCTACTAAGGCACAGAAAGGAGTACTGCGGGGAGTGATGAAGAGGTGAGTATCAGTGGGTAAGGGGTTGCCTTTTTACAGACACTGTCACTGTGTCCTGAATGGGCAAAGTGACATTTTCTCCTTAAAGTTTAGAACTTGCTGTATAATATATTCTGCATGACTTTATATATTATTTTGATTAATTCAAGACTACCACTTACTCCTATCTTTCTATGTCCCACTTGATGGCTTTTTTACCCACAAAACCTTTCTATATAGTCATTGCAGCTATATATCTCACATGTTAAAGTTTGTCATTCTATTTTTTTTTTGCTTATATTGCCCTCCTTATTTTATGTGTATGTTTTTTACATTAGGTATGGGGCCATCTGTTCGCACCTCCACATTCTGTGGCACCCCAGAATTCTTGGCTCCCGAGGTCCTGACGGATGCCTCCTACACACGTGCAGTGGACTGGTGGGGTTTTGGTGTTCTCATCTATGAAATGATGGTTGGAGAGGTAAAAGTCTTTGTTAATGGATCATATGTACAGTGGGGAAAATAATTATTTGGTCCCCCTGCAGATTTTGTAAGTTTGCCCACTTATAAAGAAATGAAGGGTCTATAGTTTTTATCATATGTGTATTTGAAATTATACAGACAGAATATCAACCAAAAATCCAGAAAAAAACACATAATACAAATGTCATAAATTGAGTTGCAGTTCAGTGAGTAAAATAAGTATTTGATCCACAAGCAAAATATGACTTAGTACTTGATGGAGAAACCCTTGTTGGCAAGCACAAGCATGTGAGGTAAGACGTTTCTTGTAGTTGGTTACCAGGTTTGCACACATCTCAGGAGAGATTTTGGTCCACTCTTCTTTACAGATCTTCATTAAACCCTTAAGGTTTCTTGGCTGTCCCTTGGCAACTCGAAGTTTCAGCTCCCTCCATAAATTTTCTGTAGGATTAAGGTCTGGAGACTGACTCGGCCACTCCATGACATTAATGTTCTTCTTCTTGAGCCACTCATTTGTTGCCTTGGCAATATGTCTTGAGTCATTGTCATGCTGGAAGACCCATCCACGACCCATCTTCAGTGTTCTGGCTGACGGAAGAAGGTTCTCATCCAAGATTTTACATGGCAAAGTTGACCTGGGTACATATTGTATTACCAATAGTATGTTTGATGACTGTGGTCCCAACTGCCTTGAGATCATTCACAAGCTCCTCCCATGTAGTTCTGGGCTGATCCCTCACTTTTCTCATGATCATCCTTACCCTATGAAATCTTTCATGGCGCTCCAGACCGATGGCGATTTATGGTTATTTTGTATTTCTTCCATTTGCGAATAATCGCTCCAACAGTTGTCTCCTTCTCACCAAGCTTCTTGATGATGGTCTTGTAGCCCATTCCAGCCTTGAGCAGGTCTACAATCGTGTCCCTGACATCCTTTGACAGCTCTTTGCTCTTGCCAGTGGTGGTGCCCAAGAAAGAGATTCTGTGGATAGGTGTCTTTTATAGATATAATGAGTTGTTGTTAGGAGTACCTTATAAAATTGGCAGGACTAATCTGTGTACCTCATGATCACATAGCCAGTCTGTGGGAGCAAAAACTATTGTTGGTTGGTAGGGGATCAAATACTTATTTTACTCACTGAACTGCAACTCAATTTATAACATGTGTATTATGTGTTTTTTCTGGATTTTTGGTTGATATTCTGTCAACCTATGATAAAAAATGATAGACCCTTCATTTCTTTGTATGTGGGCAAACTTACAAAATCTGCAGGGGATCAAATAATTATTTTCCCCACTGTATGCAGCAGTCCTCTCATTCATGAACATTGGTACCTGGCCTCAACTTTCTTTTGGATTTAAAGTACTACTTCACTTTTTTTCCATGTTTCTATTCAATTTGGTATAGTGAAAGTGGATACTCAAGAAATAGTCCTAATACTATGTATTAATAGCAAAAATTTAGTAGCGTATATATTAGCAAATGTATGTGGATGCCACACTACCTTATCAAGGCCACAGCACACAGCATGGTCCCTATTTTTAGACTGAAACTGGCCACAGACAGACCCTTTTTTGATCAGTCAGCCAGCTGAAGAAGAAAAAAAAAACAGATCCCACCATCCACACAAGCATGGGAGGAATCATCCCCGCTGTGGAATTGTATTGATTGGTGCTCTAGCCTATTGGCTGCAGTGCTGATCAAAAAAAATGTCAAACATTCCCATTCGAATGAAGTTGATCATTAGATCGACTTCTCTTGAGTGGGACTGGCCATACATGGATTGAAATTCAGCCAGTCTCTGCTGAACCAGCCAAAATTCGGTGCACCTATGGCCAGCTTAACAAAACTAATTCCTCCTTAAAGGAGCAGAGACACACCAAGTCAATAACTAGCTTTTTGAAGCAAGGTGCACATTGCCATCCTGTAAGTCTATTAAATGCTGTGTTTTTCCCAGGATGAGCTTTGTTATTCTAGAACAAAGAACTACACTGTGCAGAGAGGCCTTGATGAGGCAGTGTGGAGAGTATGGCTTCCACATGGATTTGCAATTATTTACACTACTACACTACATCTCTTCTATTAATACATATTGTAAGGATTTATGGATGTTACATTGTTAATCACACTACACCTGAGAAAGAGTAGGAATGCTCAAAACTGTGTATAAATTGCAGCAGCTATTTGGAGTGTGTATTCGTGACAGATTGGAACCTGTCTTTTTCCTGCAACTATCCTTTTTTTAAATATGGTAATTGAATCTGACAATTACAGTATCAAATAAAGGCATACTGCCTTCTTTAGGCTGCAGTGCCTATGCAGGCTGAAGGCTAATTTTATCCTCAAATCCTCCATGTGACTACTAGCTGCCTTAGTGCTCTTATGGCCAGGAAGCACTCTGATTGATTTCAGTTTTTGATTGTTAATGGTGATCAGAGTTGTTAGTAATCTACATATTACAGGTGGGAGTGGATTAAACATTGCATGCTGTCACAGAAGAACTGTAGAAACAGTGGAATGCTGCATTTTTTTGCAAGCATTTCTTAGGCCATAGGTGTCAAACTGGCAGCCCTCCAGCTGTTGCAGAACTACAAGTCCCATGAGGCATTCCAAGGTTGACAGTTACAAGCTTGACTCCCACAGGCAGAGGCATGATGGGACTTGTAGTTCCACAACAGCTGGAGGGACGTCAGTTTGACACCCCTGCCTTAGGCCACTATAGATAACTGTAGACAGCTAATGGGCCTGTATTGACTGATTCGGGATGGTGTCAATAGTACCAGTTTCAGACACTTCTGTGATCCTTAAGAATTTATTGAGAGGTACATTTGACCGGCACTTGAGCTTCTGACATTAAGGATGACCTGCCTAAAGCAGGTTTGGCATTCCCACTGACTGGTATGGGAATGCAAAACCTGTCTGATGCAAACAAAGTCCCATTTATACAAAGATATCCTTCAAATTTAGTATGAAACTTATGAGGTAATGGATCACAATTGATTCTAACTAATATAGCAGTTTAGAAATGAGTGAATATAACAATTCTTAAGATAGACATCAGTTAATAACAAAGATAAAAAAAAGCAAGAGTTTCTTAATTGAAACCAGTGACATTGAGCTATTTCCCGAGGGGCTAGCCAGACTAGATTGGATGATATCCCTCTACTTTCCTGTCTTTCTCTCCTTCTGTCTTTAATAACTTTCTCTTTGTGTATCACAGTCTCCGTTCCCGGGAGATGAAGAGGAGGAGGTATTTGACAGTATCGTCAATGATGAAGTTCGATATCCACGATTCCTCTCTGCTGAGGCCATTGCTGTCATGAGAAGGGTGAGAACATCAACTGTACTAATACTGATGATGGTAATGAAACTATTGAAAGGTGTTTTCAGGAGACAGTGATGATCAAAAATTTTAACCTCATCCAGACAGTAGGTGAGGATGATCCCCCTAATAGGGACACGGTCAAAAGGTGTCAGCAAGTGCTGAAGATAAATACAATTTTACAGTATTTTTTTTTTAAAGTGGGCCTGATTTAAAAAGAACTCTTTATGATCCCCACAGCCACAAATAAAAGTTAAAAGCCTAAGTGCAGTCACTTCAAAAACACAAAAACAGCACAGCACTGCATGCCCCATCTCTGCAGCTTTTTCCAGTGTAGCAGGGGTTAATAGAACTGAGGAGCTGTCACAGGCTATTATCAAGAGTGCCTGACTATGCCTACCTGTTCCACCTAGCTCCCCCATTCATAGTACCTGGTGCTACAGCTTCTATGAATGAAATGTGATCTATGAATGGAGGGGGGGACCTTTCAATCTTCTGCCTTTCCTCAAATCATAGATCGTTTTTCATTCATATAAGCTTTAGTACCAGTTTAGTACCAGTTTTTATGAATAGAGGAGCTAGGTGGAAAGTGTAGGCATAGTCAGGCACTGTGATGGGAGCCTGTGACAGCTCCTCAGTTCCATTATGGTGGTGGGGACATTGAGAAGAATCTTACAAAAAAGTAGTCACCAGCACAAGGTACGTACAGTAGTATCATGCTGACTGCAAGTTATGTCCCTTGTGCTGATGTTTGTGGTTTTTTATTTTTATTTTGACTGCACTTCGGCTTTAAGACACCAAGCCCCAATTTGTAGCCTTACATTTTCTTGGCAACTGTAGGTAACATATGCATTACTTAGCTAAGTGTCTTTGTGAATTGAGCTCCAAAGTGATTTCATGTTCTCTATTTGTCTTCAGTTACTGCGCAGGAATCCTGACAGACGGTTGGGATCTGGAGAGCGTGATGCTGAGGATGTGAAGAAACAGCCATTTTTTAAGGTGAGCTGCTGTATGGTACCAGTATGAAAAGCAGAGACTGACTCCTAGGAGACATCATAGACTATAATCACATAATTCACATTTATACTTTTCACACTAATGCTCTGACCACTTCTGACAAAGAGCAAACCATTAGGTGTGACCCCACTGTGCAGGTTTATAGAGGGGGGTTGGTTGGCTTTTTTGGGAATTTCTATCCACATTAACATCTAATGGAAAGTGGAGTTGAGGCAAGAATATACCTTAAAAAAAGAATTTCTCAACAAGGAAGCAAGACAGAACCACAAATAGATGAATAGAGTGTGAGAGGTCACAGACTAAGAACTAGAAAATACACTATATTGCCAAAAGTATTGGGACACCCCCCATATCATTGGATTGAGGTGTTCCAATCACCTCCATGGCCACAGGTGTATAATATCAAGCCCCTAGGCATGCAGACTGCTTCTACAAACATTTGTGAAAGAATGGGTCACTCCCAGGAGCTCAGTGGGTTCAAGCGTGGTACTGTGATGGGTTGTCACCTGTAAAATAAGTCCATCTGTGAAACTTCCTGGCTACTAAATATTCCACGGTCAACTGTTAGTGGTATTATAACAAAGTGGAAGCAACTGGAAACAACAGCAACTCAGTCATGAAGTGGTAGTCCACATAAAATGACAGATTGGGGTCAGCGCATGCTGAAGCGCACAGTGCACAGAAGTCGCCAACTGTCTGCAGAGTCAATAGCTAAAGACCTCCAAATTTCATGTGGCCTTCAGATTAGCACAACAACAGTGCGTAGAGAGCTTCATAGAATAGGTTTTCTTGGCCAAACAGCTGCATCCAAGCCTTACATCACCAAGTGCAATGCAAAGCATCGGATTCAGTGGTGTAAAGCACGCAGCCACTGGACTCCAGAGCAGTGGAGACGTGTTCTCTGGAGTGACCAATCACGCTTCTCTGTCTGGCAATCTGATGGGCGTGTCTGGGTTTGGCGGTTGACAGGAGAACAGTACTTGCCTGACTGCCTTGTGCCAAGTGCAAAGTTTGGTGGAGGGGGGATTATGGTGTGGGGTTGTTTTTCAGGGGTTGGGCTTGGCCCCTTAGTTTCAGTGAAGGGAACACTTAAGGCGTCAGCATACCAAGACATTTTGAACAATTTTATGCTCCCAACTTTGTGGGAATGGCCCTTTATGGTTTCAACATGACTGCACACCAGTGCACAAAGCAAGGTCCATAAAGACATGGATGGGTGAGTTTGGAGTGGAGGAACTTGACTGTCCTGCACAGAGTCCTGACCTCAACCCGATAGAACACTTTGGGATGAATTAGAGTGGAGACTGCGAGCCAGGCCATCTCGTCCGACATCAGTGCCTGACCTCACAAATATGCTTCTGGAAGAATGGTCAAACATTCCCATAGACACCCTCCTAAACCTTGTGAACAGCCTTCAGAGAGGAGATGAAGCTTTTATAGCTGCAAAGGGTAGGTCAACTCAATATTGAACCCCGTGGACTCTGCTGTGATAATGACAGCGGCAGAGGCTGGGTGACAGAACTGGCACCTAAATGGAGCTACTGCAGGTCCAGAAGGGACAGTAACAGTGGTCTGATTCTGGGCCGCGGTGGATGCAGAGAAGAGAAGATTGCAGATAGACAGGTACAACATACTGTATATAAGAGGATTTGTTTCATCTCTGTGTATCACCTGAGGCCAGTCACTTCACTGGGTATGATACAGTATGTAAGGGTTTGCAACCTGTAAAAATTTCCATCAGCACACTATTCTTATTGAAGGATTGTCTTATGTAGATATCAGTGGAAAGGTATCACCAACCAGAGTTTAGGGACTGTGTAGGTCCCCTTTATCAAGGCACAAGGCCTGTGCCCTGTGTAGTCATCCAACTCTGGTTTGAAAATGTCTACACGGATTTTGAGATACAGAATTGCCTTCTTGTAACTGAGGGTATTTACTGTACATGTCCTCACTTCCAGCAAAAAACCCAAAAACAAGGAGCTCAGTCTCTGATTATGGGTAAGTAGGCAGAGGCATTAAAATTATTTCTTTGTGCATCTTTTACCCATCTGTGCATCCAGAACCACCAGTGTATAGCAAAGATATAGCCATAACTTTACAGAGCCAGCATTGCCAACTTGCATACAACTGTTTCAGGCTTCTTAGCCCTCAGCAGTGCAGGATATAGCTTTACTGTCTCTCAGAGGTAGGTACTTGTGTATAGTACAACCATTAGGATTACGGATTATGAAGATGAAATAAGGGACTTCTTTCCTGGTCAGTACATTTGTGGAGCCCTCATTAGATTATTTTGTTACCGTCACACTGCTTGCTGCAGAATGCTTCTGTGTACGTCTCAAACAGCAGCATAAGGGACTAGTGATAAGCTGAACATACCTAGGTTCTGTTCAAGCATGATATGGGGAACATTGCTAAAAATCAGGTGCCAAATATAAGCTGCACTGAAATCAATAGGCACTGAATGTTTAAAAAAAACAGTAATGGCCATTTTATAGGCTAATGGGCAAAGTATTGTCAAAATAATGGCATGGAAGCCAGGTAATTTATACCCTTCAGGTCTGATGTGAGGTTTAAGGGGGACACTACACATAAAAAGCAAAAAACAAATGTTATGAGCTCCCCTTTGGGTCTGGTGTGGATTTTAAAGGTTAACCCTAAGCAAAAAAGCAGCATGGCAGGCAAAGTAAGGGCAGAATGAAACAAACAGTAATAGTGCTACTACCCATACATCCTGAATTGAGAAAGACCATGGGTGCCCCATCAACAGCTGCAGATAAATGACTAAAGCTGTGTAGGCTGAAACACCTCAATTTTCTGAATATGCAATTTTTATACTGTGGTCTTCTAATAAATGCAAGAATTTAAAGAGCATCTATGGTCGTGCGGATCCTTCCCTACCTAAGGGCAAAATGACCATGGGTCCACCTCCTGAAGTATACAAGACAACAAGCCTTCAAGGTACCTTGCCAGTGGCTACGGTCCTTGTCCCAAAGCTGATGAAGACAAGGACCTCTTCCTCACAACCCTGGCCCAGTGGTTGCAGGTGGTCTGCGTGGGATTTGTTCTGCTTTAATCTTTAGGCTGTCAGCAGATCCCCCTCTACATTTTCGCCACAGAAAAGAAAGCAACTGAGCATGTGCAAAGCTGTGTGAGACAATGTATTACTGGATTTTAAACAGCGTAGGCACTTATTTTTAATGTTTTAAATAGCTATACATGCAAAAGAGGCCAGTCTGAAGTGATCTAGAAGGACTTAATTTTCTGACCAACGTTCCACCTTAATCATGATATCAGTCGCCCTCCAGAAACAAGACGACAACCCTAACACCACAGCACCACTCACTGTATAACAGCTCCCCGATCTGTCAACATCAATATAAAGGGAGGGGCGGAGATAGTGGTGACATCATTTGTCAGGTATGACTGTGACTATAATTTCCCAATGTTATTCCTCAAATAATGCTACGTGGACCAAGCACTTGACTCATCCCTAATAGGGTCTGTATGCGCCATTACCATGACACACACTGATTACACATTCTTAGTGTATTTCTTCCCGATTTTACATGTATGCAGTCTGCTGTGTGTCCTTTTATAATCATCATTTATACTGAGTGCTACAACTTTATTTACAAAAGACGTCATGCATACATTTACTTATAAATTCAGGATGTGGATACATGCAGAACAAAATATAATTAGCCTAATCAATAGGATTCTGATATATTTAACTTTAGCGTGCAACTCTTCAACAGCACAATTGCTAAGTTCAGTCCTTGAAATTCTGAATTCATACCCATTACAAAGTCCTATATCCCTCACCTGTCTGAAGCATTGTGATCATATCAACCACACAACCTCTTTCTTTCAGGTGGGCATCCTATTGAGCTTAACATTAAAAAAATTGGTAGAAGACTAGGTTTCACATCAGATTATACATTTGTAGTGTAATAAGGCCACTCTATTCTGTTATTACTGCATAAAGTTTAACTTCTCCTTGTAAGCCTTTGAGATAGATCTGCTGCTTCCTATTGAGCGGCTCTAAGTGTTCAGCTATTTCTCTGTAAAAGAATAAACTGCCCTACAGGGACACCTTTAATTGTTTGTTTCTTGATGATAACGTTCCGCATGTAATAAAGAATTCCCAGATGAGGTTTCCTGTACCACCATCTGGATAGATCCATCTACATTATTTCCTTTACGTGTAAGACAGAAGAAAATATATATCAGCGGTTCCTAAACACCCTGAGAATTTCATTTAACTCAGGCTCACAAAGCTAGTTTTCTATTGTAATGTCACTTTTGTTTTTAAGTTGGCCATACATGGTTATGTTTTTTCCGAATCTCATTGAATATTAGTTCATCAGAACATTTTTTGCCATTGTTGAATCAACTAATTTAGTTGGAAAGCCCTTGGCCCAGATGAGCTATTTGAATGGAATCCCAGACATATGAAACTTTTTTCATTACGATATGTTCAATTTTTTCCAAGCGAAAACCGCATTCACATTTAGAATTCCTTTCATTCGATAACTCCTTCTAGTTTTTTCATCACTACAGTCAGAAATAAATGTCGATCGACTTCACTAACCATTAGAAAAAGTGGCCAGCTTTATACTATGCTTTACATACTTTATACTGTAGCTCTGACAGCCAATCTCAACCAAGGTTCCCTGTAACCCTGGGGTTCCTCCAGAGAGGTTACTATTGGTTCCTTGAGAAGAGAGCAGTGGCAGATTGATCTCCAGCCTACTCTGACCACTGATGTAAAGGTCACTTTTACAGTTACCACCAATGCTACACTAACCATCAATGTAAGGGCCACTTCTACACTGACCACCAATATAAAGGTCACTTCTATACTGACCACTAATGTAAGGGTCACTTCTACACTGATCATCAATGAAAAGGGTCACTTCTACACTAACCAGCAATGTAAGGGTCTCTTTTATACTGACCGCCAATGCAAGGGTCATGTCTAC